AAAAGTGAGAATTTTATTTCTGAGAGTGAACTTTTATTAGTTATATATATATATATATATATATATCATTTCACGGTGTTAAGTTTTATTCTGTTCATTGTGACGTAGAAACCAAGAAACCATTTTTTTAAAATTCGGACACAAAAAAATTAAAATTAAATTGCACAAATATTAAGTGAAAATTTTTAATTTTAGAAGGAGCTGCGTCACTTTCTTTTGAAAAAATGAGAAGGGCTAAAGACCCCTACGATCCCCGGTCCCTGTAAAGGTTGAAAAAGTTTATTACGGAAACTTATTTCTTTATTAAAGAATTTAATTATTTTGAATCGAAAAGTGCGATCGGAAATACTGATGAAATATTTTATAAATACTTGTTTTTTTATTATTATTTGTTCAATAGTATATTGTTTTTGAAAATCTTATATCGGTGTCTGGAAAAAAGAAAACACACTTTTAAAATGATGCTATAACGACCATAATAATTATGAAATGACCACCTCGCATAAATATATTACGCATAAATATATTACGCATGCATAAAAATGCATCGTAAATATTAGACACTGTAATTCAGCTAATGAAGAAATATTTCAGGATAAATTCTAACTTAGGAAAATCATCCCAAGAAAAAGCATTAGTTGGCAAGTATGTAAATATCAATTTGACCGAATAAGTTTTTTAGGAATCCAATTTTAAAAAGTCGTATCTTTAAAATTTAATTTTTTGATCGATTTTGATCAAATTTAGTATTCTTCATTTAAAAATTTTACACAAATTCGTACGCCTCGCAGTTCAATTTATTTATTACTTTTTGCTTTTATATTATTAAATAAAGTAATAAATAATTATTATTTTACACAATTTTAAAAAAGGACTAGATTATTAACGATTCTTTGTATCGAAACAGAAATACTTTTGATTTGTTTTTTTTTTTTTTTTTTTTTTTTTTTTTGTATCATTGGATTTTCTTCTTTATTTCAATTATTAAGGTATTGCATTTTCTTATTTAGTTTTCCCATTATGGGGCCTCTAGGCACAGTCAGTTTTTGGTTTAACCACTGATTACAGAAAGGCCCCAGTATGTTAGCAGACCAGTGTTTCCCCTGATAAAGTGCAGTTTTTGCTAACATACATATATCAACATATCTTTAAAATTTCGTTTTGCTTGTTTTTTGTTTCTAACCTTTTATTTAAACTGTTTACATGAGACAAATTTGGTTTCAACAGCTTTTGGCACTTTGCCATTCTAACTTATTATTTTACTAGTTTTTATCTTAAAATTTGATTAAATCAATTTCATGCTATGATATGCTTCTTTGTATTGTTAACATTTAAGAAACATAATCTTTGGATAAACAAATGTTACAATTGTGTTCAAGAAAAAAGAAATGATTTTTTAAAAGTTTATTTATTTATTTAATTTTTTTTTATTCGCTTAAAAAGTTTTCGAGATCTAGCGAAATACACGAAAGGGGAAATGGGAAATTAACATTAAAGGGTTCAAAAACTTTCAACAATTCTCCTGTCTAAAGGGATTTGGACCCATATTTTCCATATTTCCAGGGCTCGAAAAACCGCCCGTTCTCGGCGGTCAAAAATACCCCGCGGACAACAAATTTCTCGAATCCAACCTCCGCGCGGACGGCCATTTTCCCGTTAATGTTCGTGATATATTTTCAATTTTTGTTATCTTACAAGAGTCTAGCTCCTCACTTTTAAAATGACCCTCTAATCTCGAAGTACAGCAACATACAACATGGTGGAATTGATGTTTTCTCTGTCAGGGAGTACTGCAGCGAATGAAAGGGGCAATGAACATACAAAAAAAAAAAAAAAAAAAAAAAAAAAAAAANCATTACGTACTGGTCTTAAACAAGAAGCGTCAACCGCAATTATGAACATCTACCTAAATGGAAAACCTCTTTCAGATTTCTGTGCTGAAACCTTGATTGTGGAACTGGCAAACGTATTTGTTCATTTAAAAAACGCAGTACCATCGGATAAATTGACATGATAATTGACAGATAACTTGACCTTTGTTATTTAAATTATTTCATTAAAGAAATAAATTATTTCATTAAAGAAATACTAGGTTTTACTATTAGTAACCTAGTATTTCTTTTATTTCTGTATAATGTTATCCTAGTATTTGAAATCCTAGTAACAACTAATTCATTGTGCAATTTATATAAATGTTAGTAATAAATAAGAGAAAATTATATTTTTATTTATTTAGAAGCGATGGGTTAGTTCCAAAGGAGGACGGGTGCATTGTTGGACAAGCCGTCCTCGGGGACGGGTAAAATTTCTGAGTTTTTTTGAGCCCTGCATATTTCTACATGAGTCAAAATCCATCAAATCAAATTACACAAATTAATTAACATAGAGGTCATCTCTTTGAAGTATTAAAAATGAGTTCTAGTGAAAACCAAGTGAATCATTAGATCAAAAATTATTTAGAGTGTTCTTTTTTTTAATAATTTATTTCATTTACTTATTTATTTATTAATTTATCCCTCAAATATTATGTCAAAATCTTACTACTATTTACATATATTCGAAGCATATTATTAGTTGTCTACTCTAAAGCCAGAATTAAAATGCTCTTTGTCACAAAATGAATTATTGTTTAAATGATTTGTAAAGGTTTTACTAACATTTGGGGAAATTTTTTTCACAAAAAACTGACCTTTGAACTGAGAAACTTTTTAACAATGAAACGAAAAACTACACATTTTTAAAGAGGATAATAAACCAAAATTCAAGGTATTCAAAATGAGGAAAAAGTTCGCCATCGTTGGAAAATCTATTAAACTGATTTAAAATCTTCCTCTTACAGACTAAAGTATTTGGTTCAAATTCTAAAATTTAATTATTTCAATTATATTTTTAATTGAATAGTGAAAACACTTTAAAAAAGAATGAAGTATCTCGCATTATTAATAAGAAAAATGTAAATATTGAATAATTAGATATAGTAAATAATTGTATAAACATGCAGGTACCCTTAAAGAGTTAAAGGACTTGATAGGTTGGATAATAACTTATAAGGACTTTCGTCAAAAACCTTATTAATTTTAAAATTTTCCGCTTTCCATATAACAATGATATTTAAAACAAAATAGCTGTCACAGAGGTGCAATACCGTAAGTTGTCTGCTACAGACGCTGTTTGTTTATAAAAGTCTGACGGCTACAGTTAATTTAGCTCTTATTAACTAACGTGCTTTTAATTAAAATATTTTCCACCAAACCTTTGATCATTCAATAATACTATATTTATTTAAGAATTTTACTGAAAACTGATTTCTGTATGCTATGGGGCACGGGCGCGTGACGTCACGATCTTTGTTTACAATCAATTGGGTGGCGAGCACTCTAATGTAAGTCTATGGGATTTTGATGTCATTTTGTAATAAATTAGCAAATTTTATATTTTCCTTAAATTATTGAAGTACTAACGGTCGATTTTCGTGTAGAATAGAGTTCTAATAGACTTCATAGTAAGTTTTGGCTAAGTTATGACAGTCTTTATACGAAAAAAATTCAAATTTTTATGGGTGGTGAGTAAGTTCTGTTTCATTTTGTAGATGTTGTTTATTATGATTCATACTATATATTATTGTTGAAGTTTTTTGTCTAGATCTTAGTAAATTAGATTAACTGTGATGTCTGCTTCATAAATAAGTCAGAATAATTGTCAATTTTTTTTTAAATATGATGAAATAGCTTTGTTTTTATGATTATTATCTTCTGGGTGGCAGAATTGAAACTTTAATATCTTGCTGACATTTTTAGGAATACACGTTATTATTTTATTCTTATATCTACTAAAAGTAGAATTAATTTATTTTTATGTATGTCCCAATAATAATAATATATTTTAGTAAGGTTTTGATNAGCATAGTTTATAACACTACTTAGGTAGCATGCATAATCATACAGGGGTAAAAGCATTATAAAATACCATTTTGATAAAATATTTGGAAAAGCAACACTGATTCCCTTTTTAAATATCAAATTTTTTTTATTTTTTAATTAGAAAACATCAAAATTATTGTATTAGAATATGTCATGATAAAGCTATCTATATTTAATAATAATAACTCCAATTAAATAATAGCTTCTCTCTCTTTCTTTAAAAAAAAAATAGTTTCATTGAAATAGATAAACAATGAAAATATAAACAAATTTAATCAAATTGCCGCTTAAAGACTTTCTAAGAATAGAAAATTTAAAAAAAGAAATTTCTATGTACACAGCTTAATAGTCATCATAGTGAATATTTATCGGTGATGTCTTATTCAAACACCTTTGAATTGCTCATTGCTGTCAGGCTAACAATCGACTTCCATTTTAATTTTGCCATTACATAAAGCAAAATATATTTAGTTTAATTCATATGTCTATTAAGTATGTTAATTCCAAGTGTATTTTTCTGAGTTTTAACAGTTTTGAATTAAAAACATAAGAGAGTTTTAGTTATATTCTTCTTAAATAATTCAAATGCTGTTTAGTTTTATTTACTAAGAAATATCCTTCGTGTTTCAAGAAAAGTTTAATCAAAATTTTTTATTTTGCTTAATGAGAAGGAGAAAGAATAACAAATTTTAAATAACTTATAATGCAAATTATTGATCACACAAAAAAATAAATAAATACAATAAGCGATTTGTCCCTTTGCTTTTTAGTATCACTTGGAAACAATCTTACAAATGGTATTACAATGGATAATGTGATGATCATCCATGTCAAACTGACCATGGAGTTAGAACACATGCCAGAAGTAATAGATCTTGTAGCCATAGAAATATGTTAGAAGTGTACACGGCGAGGAGGTAGATCACTCCTGAGGATTATAATTGCGATAAAAGTTGCTAAATAAATACATGTGATTCAATAACTTTTAGTATTAAATGTCGAGGAGGTAAATCACTCCTCAGTATTATATTTGCGATAAAATTTGCCAAATAAATACATGTGATTCAATAACTTTTAGTATTAAATGTCAAGGAGGTGGATCACTCCTCAGTATTATATTTGCGATAACTCTGCTTTAATGACTTAAAAAACATAAACAAAATACAAGATCTTTAATAATGATATTAATTTTAATATATATACATCATTTTGATGCATGCATAGTAAGAATGTTAGAGTTGCAACAACAATATAAATAGCATGTAAGAAGTAAACAACATACAACATTAAAAATATGGTGATTCTACTGGAACCTACAATTTACTAAATAAAAATGGAATAAATGAATCATAAATCTATCCCAATTCCAAGTTCAGAAGACAAGTTTTCTAAAAAAAATAAAAGTCAGAAGTTCCATTCAGAATAAAAATACTATTAAGAAAAGTAACATGAATTAATAAGATTGACTATGATGTACTCAAAACTCTGTTTAATATATATCAGCTTTAAAATAAATAAAAACATACACACATAAATAAAACACTAAATATTAAATAATAATATTCATTTTAATGCAGATATTTTATACATTTATTTGTAATCAAGTTGTGCCATAACATTACAAATCACACGAAATATGTAAACAGAGTGATCAACTATAAATCCTCAAATTGCAGCATTTAAAAGGAAATTTTCAATTAAAACGGCATCACAATTTAAAGTTTAGTACACTATCTATTGAAAAATATATGTAATATTCTAAATAAATTCAGAATATTAGTTAAAAACACTTTATTTTTAAACTTCGCTATGTTAAGTCTATGACAACCTCGCCACCCAGGCACTCGCAATTGATTGTTTGTTTACAATCAATGCCCGTGCCCCATAGCAATTTAAAGAATATTTTTTAGTTAAAAAAAACTTAAATAATGGCAACGGTAAAGTATCAACAAACCAAAATGACATGTAATACGGTTTGCGTAGTAAATAAAATGTTAACTAGGTTATAGAAAAATAAAACTATTCGACAGTTTAATATAGATTCACATTGTGATTCAGAAATGACATAGCCTTATATCTATCTAAATTTATTCTTGAGATTCACGATGAGAGGCCATTTTCGTTATTCTGTATGGGATCCTCTCCTAATTCTTTGCCAAATTGTGACTATTCAAGCTTTATTTTACGTATCGTTAGGTGTTTGGATTTTCTTAATGGATGTTATTTCAGGACACAGCCAATCTCTGGAACAAATTTTTCTTTACAAAGTAAATTTTCTTATTAAGATATGAATTTTTAGTTCTTCTAAAAAGAAGCATTAAAAATTCCTTTATTGCAGTCTTTATTTTGAATTTTACTGTAAAATTCTTCATAACTTTTGTTCAAGTTATTTCTTATTTGCATATTAAAACTTGCCTTAATTTTAAAAAAAGGACAAACAAATACTTCAGTAGTTTTAAAAGGGAACTAAAATTTGTAAATAAAACAAAATAACTTGAGACTTAAAATCGTTGTTTAAAATGGAAGGGTTATAAATAAATTACTCTATTAAAAGATTATTTTGTTGACAATTTATTTCTGTCCAGTAATAAAAAAAGAAGAAAAATTTATAGATGATTTAGATTTATTTCCATTTGAGGGAGTAATATATGTAAACAGCATATTGCCTTTTTTGAAATGTATAACATTTAACTTGATATGATATGTATGTGTTTGTTGTTACAGCAAAAAAGTGTGATTTGGTGCTATTTAAACTTGACAGTTAATTGATTGTAGCTAATAACTCTTTGGGGATATCTCCAGGTCTGCTAACTACCCTTGTGTATTATGGTAATTAACCTTGTTAAAACACCAAGAGGTTTTTATACTTTACAAAACTTAAAATAATTACATAAAAATTTGCACATGGCTGGTTATGATGCATACTTTGAGTTCGCCTCTTACTGCATTATGGTTTAAAAAATTTACATGTGGCACTACCTCTAAATTTCAGCTATTTCCTTTGTACAGATACTAGTATAAAAAGTATACCTTATTTCAGCTATAAAAATACCAAATTATAACTACAGTAATTATTATAGGGCCTTTTTCAGTACATGTGGTTTGTGCACCTCAAAGCATGAGACTTTGATTGATGAAAGAAATTTTTCAACAAAAAATTAACCAATTAAGTTCTCTTGCCCATGATTGAAGATGCGGCAATAGTATGCACTGTAAATGCTCTTTGATAAAAAGATTTTCATTGAACTAAAGATCTTGACAAATATAATTGAGAAAGCTATTGTAGTTTTAAAATTTCTACAATAAAACATAATTGTTGTAATACCTCTTTATAGTTGTTAACATTTTATTAAGCTCCTACATAGCTGTATTGAGCTTCTACATTTATATACTTTGTCACAAGTCCAGCACTATGGTATTTGGCCCCCTCTTCTTATCGCATAGTTATCTGCATTGGATCCTATTTAGCTACTTTTTATCATCAATTTTAAAACCTGAATTTATAATGAAGTATTCTGTTTATACTTATTCCATCATTTCTGTTTATACTTCTTTAATTCTATGACCAGCTGGTATAGATGAGTGCTAGCTTGACTGGGAAGTACAAATAGCCTGTGTGTCAAAATTGACAGAATCATGCCGTGGACACAAAATAAGATGTTTATTCGAAATGTAGAATTTTATTTATTCTTTATTACCTCCTTGCCCACGAAGTTATGGGCATATTTTTTTTTAATTATCTAATTACAGTTTATTTTCTCAATTTATTTTATTAAATTATTATATAAAATTATTGTAATTAATATTTCAATAAATAGTTCATTTATTTTATTTTCGAAAAGTTAGCAACTAACTTTACAAATTATAGCTAATAATTTTGGTAATGCTTTATAATGTTTTCGTTACATTTTTGAGGTTACCTATCTAGTGCAAAAGTATCTTTTTTATATTTCTTTTACCATTGCCTAATTGTTCTAACCAGAGTAAATTCTTTGCAGGCAATTTCTGTGAAAGACTTACATGGACGATGCCTCGTTGGATCATTTCTCTTAAATTCATTATCTTGGTAAATACTTGAACTTTTCTATTTTTACTTATTATTGAATGTAAAAATTAACGTCTTGACTTAACCTTTCAAAATTGCTCTTGCCTTTAGATTTTCGTGTTAATGCAGACAGCATAAAGCTCTGTGTATGTGTGTATTTATAGTTACAAAAATACTTAAAACAAAATCTTCATTGTTTTTTTTTAATTTTAAATACATGAATTTTATAAATATTTGTATTACTACTAAGTCTATGGTAAATGTATAGGTAATGTTTTCCTTTACAACTTATTATATTAAGACCTCTGAAGTATTTTAGAAACTTTAAATTCTTTCTTAAATCCCTTTGTGGGGGCGGACACTAGAGCTCAGATTATCCGGATCATTCGACGACCATGTTTCCACCTCCTTCTTCTAAAAAAAATTTTTTAAATGCTTCATTATTTTCAAAAAAGGATTTTTTTGTTTTGGTAACCTTAAAATGAGCATCGCATATTCCCCCCTCCCCCCAGTTTCAATGTGCGTAGTAGGTAGTTTCTATTAAATTTTTCAAATGTGCTTATTTTCGTTTTTTAAAAGCCCTTAAAGGTGCTTTTTTCATTGGGTGTTTTGAAAAAGTGCTTAATTTCCCCTTTTTTGAAATGAGGTTTTTCCTTTACCATGTTGATTTTCGCTTCGAGCTATGCAAAAAAAAAAACAGTTCCCATTGTTCTATTCAACGTTTTTGTAGTTAATTCAACTCCAATCTATTTCGGCGTATAGTCAGTCCATAGTGTATGAAAACGCTATTTGTTTTACATGATTCAAAATTTCATGATATTTGACTATTGTCAAAAGCAGTGCCAAAAGTTTTTTTTTTGTTTTTTTTGACATGAACAAGATAAAACCGTCGATTGTCAAAAAATTTCCAACCCTGCCTAATTATGATGCGTAAAAAGTGCTTAAAAATTTTTTTTGAGTGCTTAAAGTGTGCTTATTTTTTGTTAAATAATTTGGCTACCCATCCTGTTATAGGCACTATATAGGCGAATTTTAAGCCTTGAAAAAGTGTGGAGGGACCCTATATGAGGACATTCTAATAGCTGTTTTTTTTTTTTAAGTTGTCCAATTTAAATAATGGCAACGGTAAAGTATCAACAAACCAAAATGACATGTAATACGGTTTGCGTAGTAAATAAAATGTTAACTAGGTTATAGAAAAATAAAACTATTCGACAGTTTAATATAGATTCACATTGTGATNTTTTAAAGTTGTCTAATTATCAGATTTTTTTATTGTTCAGATCGGCTTTAGTCCAGATAATCCACGCTCTGCTGTACTTATATTTTATTCTTTTCAGTTTAATTACCAAATAAAACCTAAAAATTTCATGTTTTTTTTTTTTTTTTCCAGTTCATTAGCCTTGTGGCATTTTGTGCAAAGGACCAAACTATGCTTGGATTTTACTGTGACTACTCATTTGATCCACCTTCTCTTCTGTTGGTGTTATAGTTCTACATTTCCATCTACATTCTCTTGGTGGCTACTTAATATCATATGCGTGACTGTGATGTGTGTTTGTGGTGAGTTTTTATGCATGCGGACAGAGATGAAAGCCATTCCACTTAGTATGGGAGCAAAAGCAGACTTATAAGGATCATGTGATGCTTGCTTGACTGAACTCTATTAAATTCTGCTAGTCTTATTTTATAAATAAAGAATTGAATGGACTATTTTCTTAGAAAAAAATTGTCATTTTAGCTAATGTAATATTTTATATGTGTTGAAAGTGAAATATTTGTATAAAATTTGCTTTAATAAAGATCTGAAATATATAAATATATTTTATTTATACAGTCAAATTTGTTTATTATACGAGACCATTTTATCCATAGCCTAATTCAGTGCAAGTTATATTGAGAAACACCATTTTATTTATGGATTAAAATATTGTTTATTATTTTCAATGAGGGGCCTGGTTGGTAGGATGTTGGACTCTTATTCATTAGAACGGGAGTTCGAATCCTGCCATCCGAGGAATCCCCGTGCAGTAAATGGTGACTGGTGAGCGTCTATTTTTGTCGGGGTCACAAAGTTCCCATAACAAATCAATACCTCTGGGGGTACTATATTAGAGATTGATCGCTCTCTGGTCCAAGTCAAAATTGTGATCTATGGATGAATGAATAAGTTAGGATCCACCTTGTATGTATGAGCTGTGATGTGAGACTTGGTCATAGATGACGCCACTAAAAAAACACTCTGCCTGAAAAATTCGCTGAATTAAGAGCCGGATTGCTGGTATCGGCCAGTGACATTAATAACATTTTCTGAATGAACTTATTCAATTATTTGCTTGGCGCAAAAAACATTCATCAACATCTATTGGTTAGAGCAGCATGTGTGGTTTCTAAGCATGCTCCATGTCTTAGGCAGTGGAAAGTCACGGTTAAATTATTTCTGCCAAATCACTGTCATATTCTAAACCAGTAGTTTCCAACTTACATGTGGCCATATTTAAAAACACCAGTCAAATGGTGGGCCGCAACTTTATCAAAATATTATACAGGACTCTTATGTTAGAAGGAACAGTAAATATTAGTCAGATTTTATCAAAGTTTTTTTAATATTAAAAAGCAAAATAACAAGCATTAGGAATAATGCTTGTTATGTATCATTTTAAATCTTCTCTTTATCAGAAACTTAGTGACAAGATTTTTATTTCTTTTAATTTTATGATAAATGAACATTTTTTTTCTGACTTATTAGGAATTATAGCAACAATAAAAAAATTCTTGAGCATCTGAAATTAATTTGTTTTTCTTTTCTGCTAATGAAATATTCAATTTAAGGCATTTAAATAAAACATGATATTCATTCCCTCTTTTATGTGTTTTAAAATTTACAAATGTAAATAATTTCGTCCAAAATGAGTGGTTTCAAAAAGTTAAATGGGAGAATTTCTTAGAGAAAATTTCTGATACGCATTTGATAAATTATATTCACAAAATACAAAAAATAAATAAAAAAGAGAAACATACACGATTATTTTTGTATTTGAATAAATANATATGTGTGTAAATATTTACGTCTAAATTAGTGGTTTCAAAAAATTAAATGGGAGAATTTCTTACAGAAAATTTCTGATACACATTTGATAAATTATATTCACAAAATACAAAAAATAAATAAAAAAGAGAAACATACACGATTATTTTTGTATTTGAATAAATATTTTTTTGCACCATTGGTATGTTAAATTTCACAGAAACGAAAGAAAAGTATTTGAAACCCATATAAATTTTTTACGAAAATTATCGGCAAAAAAAAAGACAACTAATATATTTTAGTTCGTGGGCCGCCAGTTGGTAACCACTGTTTTAAACCTCGAAAATATTTAGTATGGAAAATGCACTCTGACACAACAGCGACACTAGGTTTTATAAAAAGAGAGAGATTAGCTTTATGTTTTAAAAAAACTGATCTCGGCCTGTGTTAATGTCACAGACAAATTTAAATTTATGAAGATAGTAATCAGATTCATTACATAAATTCTGCTACCAAGAAATGTATCTACTAGCTGTTAAAAATTTAACCAAAATGTTTCAGAATTCGTACCAATGTTTTAGGAAAAATTATTGGTACTTCTAACTTACTAGGAAACTGGTAAGTACTAGTACTTCTAAGGTACTAGGAAACTTCTAACTGAAAATAAACACTTCATTGATTTTTATTTATTTATTTTTTGTTGGTATGTTGATAAAAAATTTCTGTTCAGTAGCACCTTGTTATTTATTTAATGGATAATGAGCAGTGTAGAGCAAAATTAATGGTCACCGCAGGGCCACTAAGGTTTTAGCGAATAAAAAATTGTTCACCAAATTTTTCTTCAAAAACGCACTTTATTTACATTTTATTTTTTGTATAAATATGGAACTGTGAATATTCCAAAAATTACTTCATTCCCCGTTTGTTTCTTCAAGTTTTTCTTTGTTTAAGAAATAAATGTTGTAATGTTATAGTCGCAATTTGGCAAATGTTGTCCTTGTAGTGTTAATCATATTTTGAGGAATGTTACAAAAGAAATGTCTCTAACTATTAATAATAATTTTTTTATTGTTTAATATTTTCAATTTTTGAAAATTTCCTCATGTTTTAAAAAGTGGACACTAAATACACAACTGCCCTGTAGCAAAATTTCCTAATTTTGCCGTGTATTGAGTAGCTTACATTTTTTGTTTGTGGAAAAAAAGAGCATAACTACCATTGAGAAATACTTTTAATGTAACAAAATATGTTAATACAAATGCTAAGAACATTGGAAAAAAGCATTTTTAATAAGTGAAACTGTACATCAAATTTCTAAGCTACAACAGTGGTATATAAAAAATTATATAGAGTATATATTTATTCGTATTTTTATTTACATTCAAAACCAGTCAGGAAAATGCATAAGTAAAGAAATGTATCTTAAACACAAAAGGTTTTCTTTTTTAAATGTATTTTTACATTATAAAATATATATAAATATGATGACATGGTTACAGTTAATAACTGGTAAAAAATTTTTAAAAAAAGGGAATAAATTTATAAATTCCTAATTTTGAGTCCCCAATCTGAAACTTTTAGTGTGGCTGAAATTTTATTTAATAAAATATTTTAATAAATTTTCATAAGTTGGTAATAAATTTATTTTTAAAAAATTTCATTTGCACTTACACTAATTTGCTATCATTCTATGAAATGTTAAAAACATAAAATGACATCTTTTTTTTAAATTTAAAAATAAGTAAATGCTCAATATAACGTTATGCATAATTTATTCAAAACACATTGTGAGCTTGGTAATCTTCAATAACAATATTAATTGTATTAATGAGAAAGTTTTATAATAATTACTGAATAAATATTGACTAATTTCAGTCTTTAAATAGCAAAACTTATATCTAACTATAATTTTTAAAAAAATAAGGAACATTTTTATTATTTAAAATTAAGAACATTTTTATAAATGAAGTTTTCTATTACGCATCATATCAAAATTAATAAAAATGATAATAACTATGGAAACACTTCTATTCTTTTTCATTAGTTGATAAATACTATTCACTTCCAAATCATAAAAAAAAAAAAAAATTAATTTTATCCGCACTTGCACAGTATTAATAAAATTGCTTTAATTACTTATATATTGCAGTTTTCAACGAATTTTTTTCAAAGCAAATATTTTGTAATTAATCTTAAATTGCTCTTAAAATGTTTTTAAATTTATTGAATATTTTTAAAGTTATAGCAAAAAACTGTAAGACGAAAAAATTAGTTTAATGTCCACATCTCCAGAAATATTTAAGCTGGGCGTACTAAATTTTGTGCAATTATAATAACCAAATTGTTACAAGTCACAAATTTATTACTTCATTTTTTGGGAGTTCAAAAACACTTCTTTTCATTCATAATTTACATTAATTATTCTAACCACTAGAAGCTTAAATCTTCATAAGTATAAGACTTTGCAAGATCTAAACACTTCTGAAGTTATAAAATGATTCTTTAAGTATTTCTTGAGAAATACGAAAAAATGTAATAGTGCAGAAGTGTTTCCAATTATTTTGTCCACCCCCCTGTATAATATAACATAAAGAAACTATTAACTTTCATGAGGGCAAGAGCTAATTTTTTTTTTAACAATTACGTAAAAACTACATTAAAACCATATAAGAGAATATATATTCACACTGTTAATTATTTTTATAGAATCGTTATCATAAAATGTTTTGAAATACAAACTTAAAAATCATTTTTAAAAAAAAGGATTTAGAAATTTAAATTGTATATAGTCAGATACTAGGTGTTTAATTTTGTCATTGATTAATCTGTATAAATATGATTTGAGGTCGCTAATATAATTAAAAATAGTAAGAGAATGGAACCTTTTAAATATACAGTGACACTTATATGAGCGACTATCTTTATGGAGAGGCCCCCCTTCTCTAATAATCAGTTAAAAAGCATGGATTTCTTTAATCCCATTAATTTACTTTTAAAATAGGGACCTGGCAACACGATAACACCTTGTTTTAAAGATATTTTGCCCCCGGCATTTAAGTAATAAATAAAAATTACACAAATCAGTGGGTTGAAACATACCAACAATAGGTGCTGGGCGAGAAAAATACAGTCACAAAGCTGATAATTTCTAATTGCTTATTCCAGTGGTTTCTAAATGGTGTTTCACTGAACCCTAAGGTTCTGTGGCAGAGTTTAAAGGGTTCTAAAAGTTTTGAGTTTTTTTGAGTAATTATTATTATTTTTTTTTTTACATTTCTGAAATCTAATTACATTTAGGTCCAACAGTATTTGATATTGCTCTTTACAAATCAAAATAAAATAACTGAATTATTTAATAAAGAATTATGTTTCCCTAATAACCCTTTTCAACGTTTATAACAGTTCTTTTTTCTTCCTTTTCTTTTTATAGCAATATAAAAACAAATTTTTAGCTAGACTGGATTCAGCTTCAACACAGAATTCAACTGTCAAACATAAAACCTAATTCAAGATTATTAATGATAAGCAATAAAATAAATTTCATTCCTCTTATTAAACATTAAAAAAAGTCAAAATAAAGTAGTCTTTTGATGTCTAATATATATACACAATTGTTTCATTTACTAAAACGGTGTTCCATCGGAAGAAGTATGATTCTTAAGGGTTCCAAAGGAAATTCGGAAACGCTGGCTTACTGTTTTTGAAGTAAATTTCATGGATGTAAATAGAAGATACTTCGCAAGATTCGGAATTAATTCTTGTAAGCTAGATCTATATAA